CGTATTTTAGATGTGTATGTTTATTTACAACTTTTGGCGGGTCAGCCAAATTATTGCCGCGGGTCACTAAGTCACCCGCGGGTCATAGGTTGCCGACCACTGTTTTAAACAGTACTCTTCAACTGTCGTTTACAATTGAACGTATTACGTTGCTAAATGACATTGGCTTGACATCCAAATGAATATGATTCATTTTTCAGTAAAAATAACCGTTTAGATAATTTTAATAATAAAACAAGATTTGTTTACACAAACGGCTACCTGAGCTGTGTCCACCGCAGGTATCAAATCCCCATTTTCGGCGTTATAAGCTTTCAAAATTACCGCTGAGCTACTGCGAGGTGTTAATAATTTACAAACAGGAATTTACGGCTTTGAAATAGAATCAAAACATAGTTAAACATGAATACATTAAATCATAGGATGTTTGATGTCGAAGCTATTGAAGAGTTATCCTCGCTAGGATATAAAGTGTGAAAAATCTTTAAAATACAACAGACAATATCTCAAACACTTCACTCTAGTTATATACGGGATACGAGAAAATATTAGTTATATATTATGTGATAGCGAAAATTAGGGTTTTGGAAAAATGTACACACTAACTACTTGTTCTTCGAATTCCCTGAAACTGGCGAAATTTTCTACGAAGCCAAAGATTCAATAAATGTGACAAAGCAATTAACAGCTCGATTAACACATATTGACCAGCTCGATTAACACATAATGACAACTTGTGTTTAATACAAAATAGAAATCATAACTTATAATCAATATTTATAAGATATTAACGTCATTTAAAGTTTATTTGTTTGTTTTAGAGCAAAGCTACATTGGATTATCTGCTGTGTTTACCACTAGAAATTCAACATTTTTATTTAGCTGCTTTGCCAACCATAAGCCAGCCTGTTTTCTATATTTAGTCATTATAAAGTCGAAACGTATGAAACTTTTCTTCGGAAAAAACGAGAGTTATTTTTCTCAGTTATTTTTTCTTAGATGCAGTATTCCTTTAAAAGGTGTTCAGAACCTTTAGTTCGATCTTCAGTTACATTGGGCAATAAATAGTCTTGCTGGTCCAGTGTGAGGAGGAAAAAGAGGTTACCAAGTTTCATTTATTGAAATCAAGTACGATATTTTGATTCAATGTAACTTCATTTCCGCCAGCTGTCTCGATTTACAGGGAAATTTATTGTTTATGAAACGTATGTTTGTTTATTTTAAAGAAAAGCCACATTTAGGCTATTAACTGTGTCCGCCGCTGGCAATCGAACCCCGGATTGTAGCGTTATAAGTCCGCAAACTTACCGCTGACCAACCGGGGGACAAACGTTATTTAAGGAGTTTATTATCGTTGAAAACAAATATATTTAAGTAATATCCGGAGTTGTTTTGTTATTGTCGATAGTTTTTTTTTTTCTGCGACTATAATGTTTGGTTCTATGTTTACTTCTGAAGTTTAAAAATATCATAAAGATAATTATGTACCCATTTTCTATTGGTAAAAGGTAAAACATATGCATATATACAGTTAATGCTTATCATTTGTTTCTCTCTCACTATCTATTTATTATTTTAGATGAAAAAACAATAGCAGTTGTGGGTAAAGACAGTTTCTGCAAATAAAAGTTTCAAACGTTTGATCGCTGATATATTACAGCTTGGTAGAATCGCCACTAGGTGGATACGCCTCTCTGTTTCTCTATACTTTGGGTGAATTTAAAAATGGCTGGAGACGGCTTGAATGGGTAATGAAGAAAAACTTTAATATAAGTTTAACATAACAGCAAATGTACAACGTAGTCTCAAAGGGTGTTCCTCGTCATCGAATTTGGGTGAATTTGCTGTTCTCATAACCTTTTCGTGTGAGCTGATATTTGATGTCTGGCGTGGTAAGACCGAAAATGGTGAACAATAAAGATCTTAATTAAAATCGTGTAAACGAGTAGCTTACTTTTATTCTTATTTTCGTTTATTATATAGAAAGTTCGTTCAAGCATTTTTGAAACGGCTTATATTTTAGATAAGAAAACCTAACAAAACTTCTAAAGTGATAGAAGTTGTGCTACTGGGGGGAATTTGTTATTAACAAACAATGTTTGATGTACCAGGTTGTAAGTGAGTAGTATAGTTTTCTAGGTTTAGGGACTTGACATGGCCTGGTGGTTATGGTGCTCGACTCACAATCTGCGGGTAGCGGGTTCAAATCCCCTTCATTGAACATGTGACGGTCAATCCCACTATTCGTTGGTAAAATAGTAGCTCGAGAGATGGCGATGGGTGGTGTTGACTAGCTGCCTTCCCTCTAGTTTATCACTAAATTAGGGATGGCTAGCGCAGACAGCCCTCATGTAGCTTTGCGCGGAATTCAAACTGAACTAACACGATAGAAAAGAACGAACAAAGATACCTGTTCAAGTTAAACATTACACCGATAGAAACGGGTGTATTTCTTTATCAAGTATGTTCGTTTCTATGTGTAAAACCATTAGTGTTCTTTTTTATTGTTAAAAGCGTAATTTCAAAGACATATATTAGTCGAGTACGAAATTTCAAACAAACTAAACCTATGTTTAGGTTTCCATGTGAGTTGCCCTAATCTTGATAAAGAAATATTGTTTTATAAACTTAAATGCATCTGTAAAGTAGAAGCTTATGATTCTAATATGTAGCACGTATGATATCAGTATCATAGGGCAAGCTCATAGAGATGCAATTAAACATCGTAATTTCTAGTACTTTATTGTATCAATCTAAATGCCTCCCAGTGGCTTAGCTGCAAGTCTTTTTACTCTCGTGGTGGCCACAGCACGTTAGCCAATTATGTAGCTTTGCACTTAACAACAAACAAACAAAACAAATCTGCTATTACATATATATATATATATATATATATGTGTGTGTGTGTGTGTGATTCTTATTTGTTGGTCACGCACAAACAAATTTTTATGTTACAAAAATGGTCCCCAAGTTTTCCAGAAATGCCTCTAGTCCTGTGGTGGGTATTTCGTAAGAGAAAATAAATTTCATCATTGTTTGTAATAGAATAAGTTATTTTGTAAAACAGGTTAATAGTTTCAGTGTGAAGACATCTTTTCTAAAAATCTCAATTGTACCGGTTTTTCAACAAGGCCTAAAACCTTTTTCGTATTGATACCTAAACTACGAAACAGGTTAACTACAAAAAT